GGAGAGTAGGTCTCCTCCCCCCCCCTTCAACCAGTAAGAGTCCCTGTGGGTTTTAAAATTCACCTGCCCATTGAAGTCTATGGCGGTTCGGCGACATCACCACTCCCATCGTATCCTGCTATCAATGCGGTGGAGAACATCTGGGGTTCCGTACCAGTGTGTCACTATTTTATAACATGTTTCATGGATATTTGATCTTATGGAACCTCTGTGTGTCAGTGTAAAAATCTTGTCCCATTGCAGTACAGTCAGTGTCACCCCTGTGTTCCTCTCCCATCTACCAGAAGCAGCATAGTGTATAGTGTGGACACCCCCTGTGTACATGCGTCCTACTTGAGCTGAGTGTTTCAAATTGTGTGAGCGATTTGGTATTAATGAAGCAATAGTAGGTCTGTAGTTTAAATATTGGAATCAGTCAAGTCCAGTCAGTACCCCCTCTAAAAGATATCGGCAAGGGCTTCAATTTCTGAGTCATGGACCGCATAGAAGGGGCCAGTCTGGGGTTTGAACGTTTTTCATGTCTCGTAGCAGCAAGATCTGGGTTGAATAATATGGGTGTCAGCGGGTTCGGGTTTGTGGTAATTTCGTGGAGCGGTGTAGTGAACACCATACTGCAAGGGTACCCAATTTGCTTTTCTCATGGATGATGGAGGAAGTAACTGTGATGGGTCTAGCCTCTGGTCTGCCCTCTCATGTGGTGGCTGAGTCATTTAGCCTGTCTGTCAAAAGATAGTGAAGAGGACTGGGGCTTGATATCTGGTTGTAAAGGGCCGTAAATGCTGGTTGCTACATTTGTACTTAAACTTATCAAATTAATTTAATTTGTATGCAAAATTTCAAACATATGGTGTGTCTGTGAACTGCATAATGTGCCTGTAAAATTAATAATGTGTGTCTGTATTCTGCATGGAGTGTGTCTATGTACAGCATGGAGTGTTTCTGGACTGCAAATGTGGCATATTGAATTTGGACGGTGTGAGGGTTAATTGTTAGGGGAATTGGCAGTCTAAATTGAGGAGGGAAAAGATGAACTGGTTTGCATATGTAGGGTCTTGTGACTATAGAGTTGGTTATGTGACAGTGTCAAATAGCGACCTTTTTAAGGAAAAAGAGGTTAATTGTCTGGAGTGATAGGAGGCCCTCTCACTAGCACCAGCTCTAGTACCTTCTCTCTCTGCTTCTTTCTTCAGTAATAAAGACTTGTGATATCTTTGCAGATGTCGGTTCTTACTGACATTAGTGAGTTGACCCTTTCTCCTCCTTTTCATCCTTGATACAAAATCTGGAGTTTCCAATTTGCTCTTCTTGGAGGCTGTAAATGTTATGCCAACCTTTGCTTCATTGTGATCTACTAGCCTCAACACTCAAACCTATATTTTTGTGTGTGCACTGTTCCTTTAACTGTATATTGTATAGACTTTGGTATTTATGACAGCACCACTACTTAGAAAAAAAAATTTTGGGTCCCAAATTCCCATTTTGTTCTGTGTAGATTTGGAATCCACGTCAGATTGTAACAGTCACCTGAGGGGCTTATGTAACAGTTTACCAAGATTTGGAGCCCAGTTGCAGGAGATGGCACAGGAAGGAGGCAAAAACCAAAAGCACAGTACAGATGAAGGGGAAATCCAAAGGCAGGGTCAGACAAGAAGCAGAAATCAGGGCTGGCAGCGGAGTAACGTAGTCGGTAAAGCAGGCAGAGGTCATAGTCCAGGTAATCAGTCAGTAGTGAAGCAGAGATTCGGCAGGAAACACCAACGAGGCAAAATTACCAGATCTAGGTTTCAGGCAGGGCTGGCTTTTACAGCCTGCTAATTAGATGCAGCTGACCCTAATTGAAAAAGGGCTACAGGTGGATCAGCACTGCTTAATCTAGCCCCCTGGTGGATATCATGGCAGAGAACCTGACTGGGATGCTGGAGCTGTGAGTTCAAACCCAGCCAGGTCTTCAGGGCTTTCTTCAGGGCTCAGGCTGTGCTATGACACAGATTCCCAGCCAGGTCTCTTAAAGGGGCTTTCTGCAGGGCTTGGGCTGTGCTATGACACAGATTCCTATTGGGCTGAGCTCCACACCCATCAAATGTGGATTCCCCTTTGGAGATGACCACAGGAAAGCATACATTGGGGAGTCTGAAAGCAATCTAAGCTGTAAGTATTGCTAGTAAGCATGTAAATCTCCTATGCTAAGATTAGTGCATGACCCACCGATACTGGGGTACTGTGATGTGGTGGATTTAACACGATATGGCGTAACTGTTGGCTAAGATGGGTGATTTTAAGAAGCATCATAACATTTGAAATTGGTATTTTTGTTTTTGTGTGTGTGATGCTCATTTAACTGTAAACTGGATAACTCCAAATAGAGAACCTTTAATAAATAAAGGAACCCAAGCGTTCTGTTTGCCTCACATTGCAATTTATCTTGCTATTTCTTATAAATCATACTATGGACATAGAGCAGAGGAAAATGGTAAGTAATCTTTATTTTATTTCTATTTATTTTTTTGTAAACACGTAGGAAGAATCTATTTAACTAGGGATAGGGAAAATATTCTAACACTTCAGTGTCCCTTTAAGTGATATTTATAAAGTAATTTAATTTGTACTTATATATTATGTTTTCTATCTAATTTTATTTGCTATATATTTAAAATATGTTTTGAAACTTCACAATACCTTGATTTATGAAAATTGTTTTTAAACAAAAGTTAATTTTCAGAGTTATCGATATTTTAACCATTTGTTTACATATCAAATAATTATCCACTATACCAATTTAGCCATGGACACTACTAGAAAATTAAAATGCATATAATTAATTAGTAGTGTAATATGGATTTTAATCAGGGACTAATGAGAGTATTTAGAAAATTGGGCAGACTAGATGGGTCGAATGGTTTTATCTGCTGTCACATTCTATGTTTAATCATGCTAAATAATTTACCTTTAAATTAACACTAAATTGTTGTCTAACCCCCTCCTTCACCCGATTCCAGCACTGATGTTCCCCGGTGCTGGGTTGGCACTCTTTCTCCTCTGATGTCATCCGATGAGAAGACCTGATGCGCATGCCCAGTCAACACTGCAAACGCATTATACCTTCCCCATAGGAAAACATTGACTTAATGCTATGAATTAATCCTATGGGGGTTTCACTGATGCTGGATGTCCTCAAGTAGAGCTTGAGGACGTCCAGCATAACTTAGGCGACCTAAAGTTCTGTAAGATTCCGGAATCGCCTCTAGTGGCTGTCTGGTAGACATGCCACTAGAGACTGTCGTAGTGCTACAATGTAAATATTGCAGTTTCTTTCCAAAATACAATGGTTTACATTTCATGACTAAGAGCAATAAGGATACTGTACCCAAACCACTTCAGTGAGATGAAGTGGTCTGTGTGCCTATAGTGGCCCTTAAAAAACAAACAAAAAATGTACTTTACAGTAATGTTGGCTGTCAGCTACATGCTATTGATAATTTTATACACATTTATTCATGTAGACTGTCACTTTAATGTAATAAATCATATTTAATTGCATCCACAATGGCCTATTTTAGCCTACTTTATTATTTTTGTATTTGAGTAATGGAAAAGCTGCCTTAAAATACATGTATAATAGGCAAAGCTGAAAAAACGCTTTGTATCTTTTAAATTAGTCCTTCGGGGCTTAAAGTCTGCAAATGTTTCCACTAGTAGTCTATAGCCAGCAAATCTATTCATTAAATCTTTGTAATATTTTGGCAGTCCACCAAGGTATGTGTTAGTTGTATATATGTTCAAACAAAGTTTAAATATTCTCTTACAGTAACTTACATATTTAATTCTTTATTTGTTGCCAACACAGATAAAATCTAGGTAGACTAGAATAATAGAATGAATTGCAGTGTTCTATTGGGTTTTACATTTACGTTAGTCATTGTTATCAGAATCTCTTTTGAAAACATATTAATCCATGTAAGGTATACTTACCCATAACTACCCCCTGTATAACAATAGATTAGTATTAAAAAAATATGTTTACAGCACATATCTAAAGCAAAACTGTCCAATTGAAAATGAAGTCTCTATTGTACAAAACCATTAATTAATATTTGACATCTTACATATGATATTGTAAATACTAAAACATTGTTAGAATAGTTTATGGCAGGCTTGTATGACATTACATCAGCTTACAGTGGATATAACATGCCTACACACTCATTCTATCTGTAACATGTAATTTTTCTTTTATGTATTGTATTTAAAATACTTTCACAAAAGCCATAAATAGGTCAGCTCCTTTAAGTTACAATAGAAGAAAAATGCAGACTCAAAGGAATGTCGTAGAAACAAGGCGTGAAGCTATTTGGCATAGGTTTTAACTTACTCTGAGTGGTTATCACTCACCAATAGTGATGTCCCGAGCGGTTTGCCGAACGGTTCGCCGTGGACGACAAAAATATGCGGTAAACTTTGACCCTGTACCTCACAGTCAGCAGACACATTCCAGCCAATCAGCAGCAGACCCTCCCTCCCAGACCCTCCCACCGCCTGGACAGCATACATTTTACATTCATTGTGAAGCTGCATTCTTAGTGAGCTGTCCAGGAGATGGGAGGGTCTGGGAGGGAGGGTCTGCTGCTGATTGGCTGGAATGTGTCTGCTGACTGTGAGGTACAGGGTCAAAGTTTACCGCATATGTTCGCCATCCGTGGCGAACCGTTCGGGACATCACTACTCACCAACCAATTGTGATTGAGAAAAAAACAAATAAAAATTATTAGAAGCACTTACACTGTTCTCTATGAGTTCAAACAGTGGTGCAACTGAACTGTCACTATGAAGTAAAAAGGAAACTCCTGAAGGAGGAACAATGATTATAAGAGGGAAAAAAAAGCAACTAGGACCCTAGCCTAACCATGGCTGTATCAATGGTCACTGAGGATGACTTTCATCAACTCTCAAACACGCTGCATGACATGATTAAATCTAAAATTGATGTGCTACAATCGGAGTCAATGGCTCAAGAGACCCATATACAGACCATGGAAAAATGCACTGAAGCTACAGTTGCCCAAGTTCAGGCAACAGACACATCCATACCGAGACAGGGCACTGTACTGCTAACTATAATGAGACAGCTGGAGGATTTGGATAATCGCAGCCATCGCTGCAATATCAGGGTGAGAGAGGTTTCTGAGTTACATGAAACAGAGGATGTTGGAGGCCTCCAAACCCCCTCTATTTATACTTGATTTTGTGGCAGGATGCACTTGAGCTGTTCGATATGAAAAAGCACACTGTGCACTAAAACTATGACCCCCTGATAGAGGTCCACAAGACATTATTTGCTGTCTCCACTCCTCCCAGATAAAGGAGTAGATCATGCAGAAAGTCAGATCACACCCGCAATGGAATTACTGGAGAGCGGAAGTGTCTCTTCAATGACCTGTCCTCAATTGCCTTACAGGCCAGAAGAGCTCTATGACCAATTACCACAGCTCTACTAGAGCAGAACGTCCCTTACAAACAGGGTTTCCCATTCAGCTTACAGGTCCGTCACCACAATGAATAGGTCATGGCTTTTTGGCCTGAAGTAATACCACAATTCTTGCTATACCTAGAACTAACTCCGATTATTTTCGCAAACTGGCTACAGCAGCCTATTTACAGCTACAACTCTAACGACCTCCGCAGAGACGCTGTGGTGAATCCACAATAGGCCTTCCAAATGGCAGACAATCTAATCCATCACACCCAGAGAAACTGAAACAACATGTTTGGTTTGCCCTCCCTGTACTCCCAACTGCCTTAATGCTCATTACACATCATCAGTTTAATTTAACAGGTAACAGTTTGATATAATAGCCCATCAGAGTCAGGTAAAGGCAGGTAAGGGAAGGTTTGGGACATGCTATGGAGGTGAGGATTTTAGGTCCAAGAATACAGAGGCACTTGAATGTCACTAAAATCATACTACAAATATTCGTTTCTGCCCTCTTGAATATTGTCTGCATTTAATTTCTGCCAGGGAATAAGCAATTTATGCTTACTCTATATAGGACACAAAGATATACTATATAGAACTCTGCATTGCCTCCCTGAAAGAGGATGAGACCAGTTTCAAGCAATACCTCAGAGTAATGCTCTTTTTGACCTCCTACTTTGCTGACAATGTCTCGGAAGAACTGTCGGAGATGACCATATGGGAAGTGCATAAAAAGTGTACTTAGCCTATGTAAAATGTTCACCACATTTATCTGGGAACACCTCAGACTTCCCTACTATCTACTTACCAGACCAAAAGAGAATGGGGGGGCTAGGCCTACCCAGTATAGAACTCTACCATTAAGGCATACTGCTAACTAGAGTCTATGACTGGTCAGAGGTGCGTTCCACCAATGGGCTCAACTCGAAGACTTCTTCTTCTTCAGAGTTCCCATGCACACCATCCCATGGCACAAATCAGGGCAAGCATTCCAAACACACTTTTCCCATCCAACCATAACCCCTACGCTGAAGATGTGGGCCCACATCAGGCATCATCATGAGGTCTCTCCTTAGCCTTCCCCAATATACCCGATTACACACAACCCATTATTTAAGCCTAGTGAAATAGGAGCCACATACGAGGACTATCATGCTACACCATACTTGACTCTGGGTGCTCTCATAGATGATAATGGAGTGAAACCATTAGCCACCCTCCTCCCTAATACCATCCACCCAGTACTACAACAATTATATATATTATAACAATATAATCAACTTCTACATTTTGTACAAACGGGGCACTACTTGCAAAAGGGAACTCACATACTCAGATATACTCAACTACAGGACTTTTACAATACCCTACCTAACAAGACTTCTGTTCACAGAGACCTCATCTGGTATCAAGAGCTATGCCACAGCAAATCTGACTTGCATAAGGCAATATCCCTTCTTTATCAACATATGCTGACAGGGGACAAGGAAGAGAAACATTTTCTTCAAATGACAGCTGCAAAACATAACAGGAATTCCCTTTACAGAAGGTCAAGGGAAAAAAAATGTGATCTTACATCATAAATCCTGAATTAGCACTTACTACCAAGATGTAAGCTATAGATTCTTATCATATTAGTACAAAACACCTGCACTCCTACATAGAATATTCCCAAAGCTACAGGCAACATGTTTGAGATGTTAGAGGAATGACGGGACTCTGAGACACATATGGTGGGATTGGCATTGCATATCAGATTTGGGACATGGTCAAATCTAGGATTACAGAAATCTTAGGCGACATGCCGCCTTTCAATCTGGAACACATATCATTACAATTCATGCCATTTCCTACAGTAAAGTACAAAAAATATTTTTGAGACATCTCCTTAATGCAGCTAAAGTTCTTGTGCTTGTCCTCTGGAAGCAAACTGGGGCCCTGACAGTTGAACAATGGTTTGAAAAAATAGAGGATATGCATTTTGCTGAGGCTCTTCACGCTTTCTTCCAAGGTAATAGTGCAAAGCATGTGGAGTTGTGGTGGCCTTGGATAGCTTACATGGCAAAGAGGGATACTGTGGTTGGGGGTGATGCGGTTGCGTAGACTCTGGGATCTGGGGTAGCACCCGGAATGCAACTTCTTCCTATCTTTAGTTTCCTTCTACTATCCCTCACTACATACACATCACTAGATTTAGTGTTAGATATATATGGGAGAGAATTAATGTAATAATCCCATTATCCATCACTTTTTATGTGGTAGTTTCTCAAAATAGGAAAAAGTGGGGAAGGAGAGGGAAATGAGAATATACTTTCCCCGCTAGGGATGTTAGTATTCCACTGATCTAGGGCACTGAACTCTCACAAAAACCAGTGTTGCAATATCGACTGGGATATTACACTTGAATAATAGATTGAAATATACCTAACCCCAGAGTGAGCTTTTCATCTCTAAACACATGATAAACCAACTTGAAGCCCTAGGTGCTGAGGAGGTTAAGTATTTAAGTGTATGTATGCACCCTCTCAGAGATGTATATTTTACGATTCACTATAATGAACATTTTGCCTTTATTTCCTAAGGATTCTGCGAGACCCAAACCTTTTCTATTCTGTTATTTTTGTGTAAAAAAACTACAATCAAAACATTTTTACAAAAAAAAAAAACATTGGCACATCATCCCACCCATTTTGACATATCCAAACTGCGGAGAACAGAATCAGACCTTTTCCTGGCTGCCACAAACTCACCCAAATTTAAAGCCCCATAAAAAGCTATAGAAGAAGTTGTGGAAAACAGGCCAACCTCCAAGGCTGAAGAGACCACGACTGGTGAAACCATAAACAATCCATGAAGAATGTCAAGGGATACTGGGTAACTGGCATCTGGAAGCCTACATAATCCCTACCTCCTTACCAACCACTGAATGACAAATGCTTTTGAAACTAAAAGGAGAGAGCCAAAAGAAATATTTTCCACTTCTGCCCCAGAAAACCCTTGAACATACAAACCCGACAAGTAAGACAAAGTAATTTTCTTAAGCAACAGCCTAGATGACTATATACCTATATTTGCTGTTGCATTTTAACTTCAATGTCCTCCAATCACCTTTGCTGGAACCTATTTCCTCTAGTGATTTGCAAATCTACATCCATAGGTTCTTCTTTACCATTTGAAATTATTTAAACATTTCCACTTCATTTCAGTAGTAGTAAATCAGTCTAAACCCCTCTTCCACCCCAATTCCTACTTTCTCCAAACCTTCTTGTATGCCACTCACAAAGCGAGGGCAAGAGACTCTACTAGGGATCTCAAATGCTGAAAATGAGGCTCCATAAATGTTCAAGACACGGTTACCACTCGCCACCGCCTCTGGAGGCACCTCCTGAAACTACAACTGAGGTGAAAAAGTGCATCTGCAATAATATTAGATGCTCTTGGAATGTGAAGTGCCCAGAGCACTTCAAAGAAATAATGTAAACCAGAGAGAACAGGGGAGAGCTGGAATAACACCAACTAATGACCTGAACCACTCCTAGGTTGTCAGACCTTAAAACCAACCCTCTTATTAGCTAGGTCGTGGCCCTAGAGCTCCACAGAACCCCTATAGGGAATAGCAGCAAGAAAGTGAGATAACACAGCAAATCCTCATCCCAGGATGCTGGCATAAATCACAGCCAAATTGCCTTGAAAATAAGCTCCAAAACCGCCTACAGCTTCAGTGAACAATTCAACATCTGCATTAAAAATCTCAGCCATCTGCCAAAAAGAGGCCCTGCTGAAGGACGACAAAAAGGTCATCCAGACTTCCAAATCCCTCCTCATCTGACATGTCAACCAAATAAAATGTGAGGGGACCACACACCCTTAGTGGTGAGTGATAACCACCTGCATAAAGCAACCCATAGATTGCATAATCTGTTGCTGAACCTTCCTAGTACCCCACACCCACCTGAAATCAAGAGAACATCGGACTTCCTGGGTCCCCTCCAACTTCACCACTCACATTGGTCTTAGAGCCATGCAGGCCTTGAGGTTGCCACCTCCGGTGCGTGACATCATTCTCCAGCATGCCAGAAGATGAAATAAAAAAATAATAAAAAATATATCTTGTATCCCGAAGATGCCGGGTAGTAATCCATTCATATGTGATTAACCTCCATAGTTATCTCTAACTAGGGAAATATTAAATCCAATAAAAAACAAAACCCAATAGGAAACCAAAAACAGACAAGAAGGAAAGTATTAGATTAGACCCGCCAAATCAATATCTATATTTAAACCTAACAGCCACAGATTGAAGCACAGCACATACGGATTGAACCCCTTTTAGGTAGACTAACCTGCATTCATCTGCATCTTGTAAGTGCTCTCACTCCCCTTTCACCTCCCCTTTGTTCCTATTGTATTACACTATACACAGTTTTTGTTTTTTTAGATCTGTAATATTAGATTGGCTTATATACACTAGGTGGTATTTTAAGATTTATCTTTTTGAGCTGGTTTTCTCTTATATTCTATATAAATGTGTGTTGTTCATAGCTTTGTGGTGTGGTGAGGTCACCATACAAGCTCCCTGTCTATCTATCTTCATTTCCTCTATGGTTAACTATTGTTTTGTTTTGTACTTAGGATTCAATGAGGATAACATCTCCAGAATCAGTAGCTTTGCTATATAGGCTAGCCAAGGGCACC